TTTTTTGGTACCAGGGATCAAACTAGGGAACTTGCACTTGCAAAGCAGGTGGCAGAACCACTGAGCTAAATCCCCGGCCCCAGACCTGTATTAATTTTAATCTATCATTATATTAGTTTACAGAGTCCTTCCACCTTTGTAAGTGCCTTTTAGTCTCACAGTCACCAAGAAGGGGAAAAAAAGAATTAACAGAAAATAAATTTACCTAGAGTAGAGGTCTTCTGGTTCTTCAATATTTTATTACATGTAACAACTAGAAGTATGAAAAGTAACTTTCTGTGTTTCCACCTGCTTAGCAACAGAAATATCTAAGAAGGATCAAAGGGAGAACATGTTGACTCTGTCTATTTATTAACCTGAGGCATATATGCACAGAGTGGCCCATTATTACTTCCCTTTCTCCCACCCTTTTGGCAAGGAATGAGTCATTTTGACAACTAAAAAGAATACTGTTGTCACTGTTCTGTATAGCTATTACAATTACAAATGCATGTATCCTTTGATTCAGAATTGTACTTCTAGGAATTTTTCCTTATAGATAAATTTTCCCACACACAATGATGGTGTATTCTAGGTTTTTCATAGCAGAGTATCAGAAACAGCTGAAATGCCTTGTAGTATAGAAGTTAATGATGTATCCATACAGTGAATATTAGGCTTCTGTCCAAAAGAATAAGGCAGCTCTATATTTGTTGAGGGCACAACCTCTTGGATAGGTTGTTTGGTGAGACAAGGCAAGATGTGGGACAATGCATTATTTTACATAACATGCTTTTTTAAAAAGGAAGGGGTGGGCCGTGGATTTAGCTCAGTGGTTCTGCCACCTGCCTTGCAAGTGCAAGGTCCCTGACTACAATCCCCAGTACCAAGGAAAAAAAAAGGAAGGAGTAAGTGCATATGAATACACATTTGTGGGTGCACCAAGTGCTTCAGGAAGATAATAAACCTAATAACACTTGCCTGTAGGCAGGGAAACTGGGTGGCCTGAGAACAGGTGAGGGGCAGCATCTGTCTCCATAGGGCCTTTTGAGTCAAGAACCATCGGAATTATCTATTTTAAAAAATTCTTTGCACTGAGGTCATCAGGACCTTGAGGTCCTTGTGTATCCAATTGCTCCCCCTCCTCCCAAAGGATACATTTATTTAATCATCCTTTCTTCTGCTCCAAGTTTTCTGGAATGAAATGAAGATCTCTTCTTGTCTTTACTTTAAAAATGGTTAACGCCTATCTACTTATTTGCATTCAGTTTCTATTAAATTTGTTAATTGAGTGTCCTTTGTGCACTTCATTATACCACATTCTCATCATTGTTTACTTGAAACACATAGTGCCCAAGCCAGTTTTTGTTGATGCTGTTAGAATTGAAAAGTATTATCAACATGAGCTAGGAAATTCAAACAGCATAAATGCAGAAACAATGAGAAGTTCTTTCTCTCTAGTCTTCTGGGTACCTAGGCCCATAGTTCCCCAGCTGGGCTGCCACTGCTATAATTTTTACATGTTTACTTCTTATAATAATTGTATGCATATTAAGCATAAAACATGCCTGTAACCAACCCCCTTTTTTGTACCAGGGATCGAACTTAGGACCTTGCATTTGTGAGGCAGGTGAGGTGCCACTAAGCTAAATCCCCAGCTGTATCCCCCTTTTTGTACCTTTAATTTTTTTCAATAGACTTGATTTTAGAGCAGTTTTAAACTCTGAGCAAAATGGAGAAGAAGATACAGAGATTTCCATATACTCCCTGCCCTCCACTTGTATAACCTTCACCATTATAGTATCCCCACTAGAGTGGTATAATATAGCAACTTAGCAAGACCCTGTCTCAAAAAATTTTTAAAAAGCCTGGGCCTGTAGCTCATTGAAAAGTCCCTAGGTTCAGTCCTCCCCCAAAACCCCAAAGAGAGATCCAAAACAAAAATAACTGTACAGGATATCACTGTACATATATCAAATATATTTCATTCAATCAGTTGCCTCTTAGCTGGGCATGGTCTTATACAACTGTAATTTCAATACCTAGGGTGACTGTAGTAGGAGGATTGCAAGTTCAAACCTGCCCTGAGCAACTTAGCAACTTAGCAAGAGCTTGTCTCAAAAAATAAAGAAAAGGATGAGGGATGTAGTTTAGTGCAAAGGCACTGTATTTAATTTGGGGCACTGAAAAAGATTAAAAAAGCAACAGCAACAAAACTTTAGTCCTCTCTTTACAGAAATTGCAGTTGTCCACAGTCTATTGTTACCACAAAGGATGCCATAACCAGTATCCTAGTAGAGTATCCTTTGTACAAGATGTATACTATATCTGTAGGATACATTTTTTAGAAATATAATTGCTAGATCAAAAGTTCATTTTATTAGGAAAGTGTAAGAGTGGTAGGACAGATCTGAATTGCTTCAGAATTAAGTGCAATTTTATCTTCTGCCTTCTGCATTTTAAGACCAATTTAATGGTTTTGTCATGTTATCAATTAATTTCTATTAACTCTTTATAGCATTCCTGTTTACTCTTGTAGATTTTTAACATTTTAAAAATCTTTATCGAGGCCAGGGATTTAGCTCAGTGGTTCCGCTGCCTGCCTTGCAAGTAGAAGGACATGAGTTCAATCCCTGGTACAAAAAAAAAAACAAAAAACTTTATTAATTTTACTTTGAATGCTTTCCCAAGCCTACTTCTTTATCTATTGTGAGAATATTACAGTACTTTTTTGTGAATTTTCAGCAGATGTGAAGCAAGCATGAGGAGGGATCATCAGGTTAAGACTTAGAATGGTTTCCCTTTCCTGTCAGTGTTTATTCTAGGACTTCATAGAATTCTGTTTTCTAATAGGAAGCACAATTGATTTGAGATATTGACCTCAGAAATGCTGAAGGATCAATTTCTTTCTCATTTGTTACATATGCTAGTATGATACCAATTCAATCTGAACAAAATATCAAAAAAAATATTTTGAGTTTGGACATTTTAAATTGGTAATAATGAATATTTTAAAATATATTTAGGATTTATACTTCTTTTACATTCAACTATATTGATTTTTAAATTGATATATTAAGTTTTTAGGTGTCATTGTTTTACTTCTGTATTTCCAATGAGTGATCTTAGATTCTACACAGAACATTATTCTCTGAATGACTTAAGAGAGGAAAATGTAAAAAGGTAATAAGGGTATTTCAAAGTAAATAAAATCCTTTCTAGTGTGAAAGGCCCTGATTTATTATGTTTTCCTTCGCCTTGTATCATGAGGTGCTCTGATGGATGGGAGCAGTGTATCACTGTGTATAACTGCATTTTGTGATGGACAATTCAGCTCTCTTTGCCCTAAAGTTTACGCATCAATAAAAAAGACAGAGATGTAAAACACCCCTGCTTTCCTTGACTTTGCTGAGGATTGAGTATGATTTTATTTTATTTTATTAATTAATTTATTTTGGTACTGGGGATCAAACTGGGGTCCTTGAGCTTAGAAGGCAGGTGGTGGAACCATTGAGCTAAATCCCTGGCCTGAGTATGATTTTAGTAAGCAGAATTTTTCTACTTTTTTTCTCTTGCATGTTCTCAAAAATATAGGAAGGTCCAAAAATAAATAGTAATTTAAAGTTCTTGCTGTATTAAAAAAAATCCCATGGCCCTTTCAATATTTGAACTGCTAGGCATGGCAACTGTAGTTTCATTTTGTCGTTTTTTTAATCTCTTAGAAATAAATGACACTTTAATACGTAAATACAGTAATTAGCTAATGCTATTATTTATATCAATTTAACTTGCAGCTGATTCCCTGGAAATATTTCAGGGTGCTCTCTTCACATTGCCTGTGTAACGCTTTCTAAGATTTATATACATCAGATGTATATTTTTGTTTGGCATAAGCTACTGTTGTAATTTTTCTTTTTGGTTCATAAAGAATTTTCTGATGGAATGATAACTTCTCAAGGATTGAGAATAAACACATTTTTACATTTAAAAAGATAATGAACATTTTATTTTATTTTTATGATACTGAAGATTGAATCCAGGACCTCACATATGCTAGGTATGTAATATTGAGCTACATCCTCATATACATACACGTGGAAAAAAAAACTATATATATATATATATATACACTGAGCCTAGGGGCACTGTACCTTTAAGCTATATCCTCAGCTGTGAATATTTATTAATTGTTTTGTTTTGTTTTTTGAGACAGGGTCTCACTATGTAATTCAAGCTGGCCTCATACTCATGGTAATCCTCCTGCCTCAGCCTCCTGAGTCCTGGGATTACAGGTGTGCACCAGCATGCCTGACTTATTTTTTATTTTGAGACAGGGTCTCACTATGTAATTCAAGCTGGCCTCATACTCATGGTAATCCTCCTGCCTCAGCCTCCTGAGTCCTGGGATTACAGGTGTGCACCAGCATGCCTGACTTATTTTTTATTTTGAGACAGGGTCTCACTATGTAATTCAAGCTGGCCTCATACTCATGGTAATCCTCCTGCCTCAGCCTCCTGAGTCCTGGGATTACAGGTGTGCACCAGCATGCCTGACTTATTTTTTATTTTGAGACAGGGTCTTGAAATGTAGCCCAGGCTGGTCTTGAACTTCTGATCCTTCTGCCTCAGCCTCTCAGGTATCTGGGGTTATAGGCAAATACCAATATACCCAGCTTTAAACTGTGATAAATATTTCACGATGTTCTCCTCAGAGGTTTAGTAGTTCAACAGGATATAAGATCACCAAGTCTTTTGAGAGGTTTCTGGCTGCCTCCACTTTAGTATAAGATCAAGTATTGATTGAGGAAAGGTCAGATTAATTAATATTGGAGGACTGGAGTCTTTTTACAGTGAAGCTGATTGCAATCCCAGGAGGAAATACACAGTGTAGTAAAGTATTAAATATGGCTATCAAAAGGTCAGCAAGGTGAAGATGACATGTGTATATCAGCTGCTGTCAAGCAGCCCCCAGTAACTACTGTACTTACTTATTTTTGCTCCCCCCCCCTCTTTTTTGGTAGGACTTTAGCATCTTGAATCATTTTGGGTTCATTGCCTTCAAGACTGACCTGGTCAGAGTTCATCATGTTGAAGTTAAAAAGCTCAGAGTCAGTCCGGGTGGTGGTTCGTTGTCGGCCCATGAATAGCAAGGAAAAGACTGCTTCCTACGACAAGGTGGTAGATGTGGATGTGAAGCTGGGGCAAGTATCTGTGAAGAACCCCAAAGGTACAGCCCATGAAATGCCCAAGATGTTCACCTTTGATGCAGTCTATGACTGGAACGCCAAGCAGTTTGAACTCTATGATGAAACGTTCCGACCGCTCGTGGACTCTGTGCTGCAAGGTTTCAATGGGACAATTTTTGCCTATGGACAAACTGGGACTGGGAAAACCTACACGATGGAAGGGGTTCGTGGTGACCCTGAAAAAAGAGGGGTCATCCCCAACTCATTTGACCACATTTTCACACACATCTCTCGATCCCAGAATCAGCAGTATCTGGTCAGGGCTTCTTACTTAGAGATCTACCAGGAGGAGATCCGAGACCTTCTCTCAAAGGACCAGACCAAAAGGCTTGAGCTTAAAGAGAGGCCTGACACTGGGTTGTATGTGAAAGACCTGTCTTCCTTTGTCACCAAGAGTGTGAAGGAGATAGAGCACGTGATGAATGTGGGCAACCAGAACCGCTCTGTGGGTGCAACCAACATGAATGAGCACAGCTCACGTTCTCATGCGATCTTCGTCATCACTATCGAATGCAGTGAGGTGGGCCTTGATGGTGAGAACCACATCCGTGTAGGGAAACTGAATCTTGTAGATCTGGCTGGCAGTGAACGGCAAGCCAAGACCGGTGCGCAAGGGGAAAGGCTGAAGGAAGCAACCAAGATCAACCTCTCCCTTTCAGCCTTGGGGAATGTCATCTCTGCCCTGGTGGATGGCAAAAGCACACACATTCCATATCGAGACTCAAAGCTTACCAGGCTCCTCCAAGATTCCCTTGGTGGCAATGCCAAGACTGTGATGGTGGCCAATGTGGGGCCTGCCTCTTACAATGTAGAAGAGACTCTGACCACCCTAAGATATGCTAACCGTGCCAAAAACATTAAGAACAAGCCAAGGGTCAATGAGGATCCAAAAGATGCCCTCCTTCGAGAATTCCAGGAAGAAATTGCTCGGCTCAAAGCCCAGCTGGAAAAACGGTCCATTGGCAGAAGGAAGAGGCGAGAGAAGCGGAGGGAAGGTGGTGGCACTGGTGGGGGTGAAGAGGAGGAGGAGGGAGAAGAGGGTGAGGAGGAAGGGGATGATAAGGATGATTACTGGCGGGAACAGCAAGAAAAACTGGAGATTGAGAAGCGGGCCATTGTGGAGGACCACAGTTTGGTTGCAGAGGAGAAGATGAGGTTGTTGAAGGAGAAGGAGAAAAAGATGGAGGACCTACGACGAGAGAAGGATGCTGCAGAGATGCTGGGTGCCAAAATCAAGGTACCGTACCCTTCCCTGCTTAGAGGTCCCTCCCCTTCTTTTCTCCTCTCCTTCCCTTTCCTCTTTTCTATTCTTCTCTCATCCAGTATTTGGGCTTAAACCCAGAACCTTTGTACTGAATTATATCCCCAGCCCTTTTTAAATTTTTTTAGACAGGGTCTCACTAAGTTGCTAGGTTGCCCAGTCTGTGCTTGAACTTGTAATCTTTCTGCCTAAGCCTCCCAGAGTGCTTGGATTACAGAACTGTACCACTATACCTGGCTAGTGCCTTTTTTTTAATCAAAAAATTATATGAGGGATGCTCTCTTTCTTGGTTTTGCATTTCTAACTCTGATACCTAGTGCTCAGTAAACCTTTGTTTAATTGAATCTAAAAGAAGAAATGTTTTTCAAATTGAAAAAAATAGAAATTGAATTCATAGTAATTATTACATATGTACAAAATATGAATAGCAGAAAACTAATAAATATCCGCATACACACCCCCATAGAAATAGAACAGCACCCAGATCTTCAGAAGCTGAATTTGGCGTTTATTGTTTCCTTGCTTTTCTTTGAAGCTCTACCATATATGTAGATCTTTAAATAAAAGGTTTCACATGCTTTTTGTTTTTATATAGTATGTTCCATGCCATTTGCTTTTATTTGTCTTACATTCTGTTTGTACGATAAATCTGTATTGATGCCGAGGCTGGGACTTGCTCATTATTACTCTGACTTTTCTACTGTGACCGTTCTCGTACTTGATTCCAGGAGAATATGTGAATATGTGTATGCAAGAGTTTCTTGTATGGCACACTGAGACTCCAGAAAATATGCAGCTTCCCCTTTTTATGATACAAGGACAGTTTGTTTTCTTGTTTTATTTTGTGTGTTTTCTGGTGGGGCTGGTAGTGGGACATAGGGCTTTGCCCATGCTAGGTAGACAGGCTGTTTTCTAAAGTGGCTGTGTGAACTGAAGCCTCTCTGAGCAGTGTGAATTCTGGTTGCTCCTCATCTTTACCAACCTTTGTGATTATCAGACAAACTTCTGTATATCTGGTGGGCATAAAGTGTTATCTCATTGTGGTTTTAGTCAGCAGTACCCTGACACAAGATACACTAGTTCTCTCCCGGCAAAACTGTCCCCTGTAGTCAGCCTGTGCCCCTCACCTCGGATCCTTGCCCTGGTATGCTCCCTGACCCCAGCCTCCACCTCCCCCACTGACTGAGCTATATTGTGGAGTGTGGAGACTCCCATTTTTGCCTCTTCTTTCTGCAACAGTGTACTGTTTCCTTGGGTGCCCAAACTCTGACTGCTGCCAGGTTTTAATGACAAAGGAGAGTGCAAGAGGTGGCCACTGGCTGAATTCCTTTCTTTCTTACTGAATTTATGCAAACGTTGATTTTTACCCTAAAATAAATCCATGTTTATTAGTTGAAAAATGGCAAATTCTCTCTTTCTCACCCCACTTCCCTTGCTCTGTGAAGCTGCACAGTGTTTATCTGTAACTTCCTAGCAGCCCTTTCACAGTACTCTATCCAATTTTATTTTAGAGGCAGGTTTCTTAAAATCTTGAAAGTTCCTTCAGAGTCTTTTAAGAGCCTATGTGAAGATGTAATCATAAATGACACAATTAGAGGTAACTTTGTTCTAGGAAGGGACCTACTGTGGGATCCTTTCTGGCAAGTGCCACTTCCCCTCCTCATCCTGCACTGGAGTGTAACTGGCTATGCCTGAGTTTGGTTTGCGTACTGTTTCTTAGGATCACATTTGTATTCAAGGCCAGTTACACCTAGACTCTAAATAACCTAGGGTATTTGGGTATTTGGCTGAGTGTGGCAGGATTTAGCATTATACTCAAGGTCTCTGCATCTTTTAGATGTTTCATCTGTGGGAGAATTACATTACTTCTGTCATTTTCAGTCTGTGGATCTGTCAAGTAATGGAACAAAATAATTTTAGAACTGGAGTTTATGTGGTCATGGGGTGTAGTAATGTAGCCTAGTCCTTTTGAGAAAAGAGGAAATAGGTTCAAAGGGTGGACTGAAAAGTTGCAGCAGGGATTCAGTTAATGTTCCTTTTGTTTGGGTTTTTCTGACAGGGTTTCACTATGTAGCTCAGGCTGTCCTTGAACTTGTGGCAATCCTCCTCCCTCAGCCTCCCAAGTTCTGGGATTACTTGTATATACCATTATGCCCATCTCAGCTAATTAATAAAAGCAGGGTCATCTCAGCACTCTGGGTGGTTAAGACAGGAGGATTACAAGTTCAAGCCTAGGATAAGTGACTTAGCAATCTAGTGAGAGCCTGTCAAAATAAAAAGATAAAAGCGTGGGGATGTAACACAGTGTAAAGGCCCTTGGTACTGAAGAAGAAAAAAAAAGCCAGGGTTGTAGAGTTTTTGGATTCCACACTGCTCAGGTATAAATAACTCCTGTGGCCTCAGCCCCCACCTGAATGCTGAAGGTTCCCAGTTTGTACATCCAGCCCAGAGCTGTCTCCTAATACACAGGCTCCCTGGCTTCCAGCTCCTGGTGTCACCACTAAGATGCTCCTGGCCCCGGAGCCTGCTCTGTTCTTTACCTCTGTGAAGACAGCCTGTAGGAGTATTCATTTTGTTTTGTTTGTTTTGTGACCAGGTCTTGCTATGTAGTCCAGGCCAGGCTTGAACTTACTATGTAGCCCAGCCTGGCCTGGAACTCACAGTGATCCTCCTGCCTCAGCCTCCTAAAAGTGCTGAGATTATAGTGTGTAGCACCATGTTTGGCCATGAGTTATTCTTGCCAACTACCCTCCCTCTCATTTTAAGGCCCTGTCAATTCCACGGCCTTGGGACCCTGCTTTTTGGAGTCTCTTCCTGTCTCTCAACATCGGCACCCAATGTAGGCCTGCACCCTGCAGCAGCCTCCCATCCGGTCCCTGGCCAGCCTACCCCATTGTAGTCACTCTCTCTGGCAGGGGTGCAGTATCTGTGAAGCACAAGTCTGACTGTGTGCTCTTGTGCTCAGAGAACTTGTCAGGGTGCCTCTCTCTCCCTAACAGGCCTTGAGGTTGGGAACTGACCCTGCTGGTTTTGCCAGCTTCAGGCATCACCACTCCCTACCCTTCCCTCTCACAAAACCGTTTTTTTTTTTCTTAGTGAACTCCTATTTTTTACTTCTGTCTAGCTATTGCTTTAGACAGGAAGTTTTCTCTGAAAGACTTGATTCTCCCTCTTTGGCAAGGTTCTCCATTAATTACTCTGAACTTGCCTCAGGATGGCATTCCTGCCTGCCTGCTTGTCTGTGTCCCTCAGTGGACACCTTGCAATCCTCATTGATATCCCCAGGTCCTGGCACGTAAGTGGTACTCAGTTTGTTGTAAGTGGGCTTAGTGCTTTCTGTAGAGGCAGAACAGCACTTTGTTAAAGCTAAAATCCATGTGTGTCCAGAGAAGCTATACCTTCAGTATCACCAACATTAAGGAAGGGTATATGTATACTTATATGTTTATTGCAAATGGAGGGCAATATACTGGGGATTGAACTAAAATCCTGAAGTACATACCCCATCCCCAACTGTTTTTGTTTATGTTTTTGAGACAGGGTCTTGTAAAGTTGCCCAGTTTAGGCTCAAATTTCTAATTTTCCTGCTTCAGCCTCCTGAATAGCAGGGATTATAAATGTGTGTTACAGCTCCTGACTAGTATATTTTTTGAATTTTGTTTCCTATGTAGCCCAGGCTGGCTTGAACTTGCAACATCTCCCCTGCCTCAGCCTCTGAAATGCTGGGATTACAAGCATGCATCACTATACCCAGCTCTGTATATTTTTCCCCCCAGAGTTTGACCCCTTTGGCTCAGTCCAGAACTCCTTATCTTTCTTGGGTTTCCCTATGAGGAGCTATGTTCTAGGGGAGACCATTTACAAGATGGATTCTACTTTTCTCATTCAGGCTATGGAGAGTAAACTACTTGTTGGAGGAAAAAATATAGTAGATCATACAAATGAACAACAGAAAATCTTGGAGCAGAAACGGCAAGAAATTGCAGAACAGGTAATTTTGAATTCTTTTCTGGGGAGAATGGGGTGAACTAAAATGAGTTTATGCCACAGAGCAAATACCTCTGGTGTGAGGCTCTCTTCAGAGGGAATGGAGACAAGATATATTATCTTCAAAATACTCGTTTTGACTATTGGGAGCACCCAGCTCTGTGTTCTTATACTGACATAGTCTCTAGGACAAGCTGCTAAGTTTGTGATATTGCTCAGAAACGTCGAGAGAGAGAAATCCAGCAGCAGATGGAAAGTCGAGATGAGGAGACTTTGGAACTTAAAGAGACATACAGCTCATTGCAGCAAGAAGTGGACATCAAGACCAAAAAACTCAAAAAGGTATGAGAAGACCAAGGCCAGGCTGAGGCACCTTGGGACTGAGGGTAAAGGAGACCTCTGCTCTTGAGGGACCCTCCTCACCTGTCTTTCCTCATTCCAGCTCTTCTCCAAGCTTCAGGCAGTGAAGGCTGAGATCCATGACCTCCAAGAAGAGCACATTAAGGAACGCCAGGAGCTGGAGCAGACGCAGAACGAGCTCACCCGAGAGCTGAAACTCAAGTGAGTGTGAGCTCTGTGCGGTGCTCAGCCACCGTGGGGTCACCAGCCTTGTATGTCAAGTAGGAAACATCCCCAAGGGCAGAGCCCTGGCCTGTTTCCTGGCAGCTCAGCTCCAACCACCCTGCTGTCTTCTGTTTTTTATTTATTTTATTTTATTTTTTGATACCAGGGATCGAACATGGGCCCTTAGGCTTACAAGGCAGACAATGGAACCACTGAGCTAAATCCCCAGCCCTGTCTTCTGTTTATTCCTAAAACAAGCACTTTGTATTTCTGGGCCCATTTCTGTGAGATCACCAGATGATCTCCAGTTCTTTTCCATCCTACCTTATTGAAGTTTTTAAAGCTCCGCTCTTACTTCTATCTACTGATAAAAGGACTTTTGACTTTTTCTTTTTTTTTTGGTACCGAGGATCTGACACAGGACCTTGTGCTTGTCAGGAAGATGCAGTGCCACTGAGCTAAATCCCCAGCCCTGACTTTTGACTTTTTATTGAGAAATTGTCCCGGTGGTGTAATGAACCCTCAAATAGTCATCACCCAGATTTGAACACACTGAGAACGATTATTTTCATGAGATCTGGACAAAATATTCTTTTAAAACTCTGATATTAATGTACAGCCTGGCTTAAGAACTCCCTGAGTTCCATGCACAGTAGAACATGCTTATAATATCAGCTACTCAGAAGCCTGAGGCAGGGGCCGGGGATTTAGCTCAGTGGTTCAGTGGTTCCACTGCCTGCCTCGTAAGCGCAAGGACCTGAGTTCAATCCCCAGTACCACCCCCAAAAAAAGCCTGAGGCAGGAGGATCACAAGTTAAAGGCCAGCATGGGCACTTTAGTGAGACCCTGTCTCAAAATAAAAAGGTCTAGGGATGTGGCTTATTGGTAGAGCACTTACATAGTATGAATGAGTGAGGCCTGGCCCAAACTCTGGATTCTAGCTCTAGCACCTTCCAAAAGAAGAGGAGATAAACAGAGAGAAAGAGGTAGAGGTACAGAGAAAGAGATGTGTTATTTCATTAGAGGTTATAAATAAGAGGAGATAAACAGAGAGAAAGAGGTAGAGGTACAGAGAAAGAGATGTGTTATTTCATTAGAGGTTGTAAAATGATATTTTGTATATTAAGCCCTCCACATTATCTGCTGGATCATTTCTTTCTTTCTTTCTTTCTTTTTTTGGTACCTGGGATTGAACTCAGGTCCTTGCACTTGTGAGGCAGGTGGTGGAACCACTGAGCTAAATCTCCAGCCCAATCCTAGGCCCCAGATTATTTCTTTAAAGAAAACTGTCCAAAGAGATTTTTATACTGACCAAGTTTTAAATTTGGAAAAAGGCCCTTAAGAGTCACTTTCATACATGTGGATACCTAGAAGAAAGATCAGAACAAAAGATATCAAAATATTAATAATAGATATCTCTGGATAGTGGGATTATGGGTAATTGCATATATTACATTTTTAATGAGTAAATAGGACCTTTGTGATCAGAAAAAATTATATTATAAAAATAATTTCTGAAATGTCGAACAAAATAAAGAGAAAATTTCATCTTCCTGAAATGTTTTGTCTCTAAGGAGGCCATAGTCATTGTAATATCTTTTGAGTAAACGATGAGTCAACCTAGTCTTTAGAATCCTGCACCTCTGTGGTGTTTGTTTTTTGTCCCACCCATGTTAACACCCATTTGGCATTATTATTTCCTGAGGTTTTGGAATAATGGAGGCAGAGATGGGGCAATTGACAGTCATCATCGTGGAGAGATGCAAACCAGTAGTCTCTAGTTTCCTTGTTTGATATGTTTCCTGGGCACTGGTCAGGCAGAGTCTCTCGGCAGGAATGGTCTTCATTTTCAGTGCACCAAATCCATTTGATCCTGATCTTCACCCTGGTCAGTTAGAATGGGCAGTTTTTTAGCTTGGGGAAAAAGCCATGGGACTGGAGGAAGGCAATTTAATTTCTAATTTGTTTTCAGTGTTTTGGAAGGCAGTGACTTGGCTTAGCAGCACCAGTGGCCCTTTTAAAGATCCCTTTTGAGAAGACATGGTGGCTCATGCCTATAATGCCAGTACTAATTGGGAGGTCGTATAGGAGTATCATTGCAAGTTTGAAGCCAGCCTGGGCTACATAGTGAGTTGTAGGCCAGCCTGGAGTAAAACCAAACCAAAACAAAAAAGATAAAAGATTCTTCAGGTAGCAAATGTTCACCCAAGGAGAGCCTGGGCATTGCCTCCTCCTCAGTCCCTTCACTTCCTTACAGTGCTCTGCCCCGGGCAGCAATAACCTCTCCTGGGACAGACTGCTCTCAGTACTTGTCATATGTAAGAGTGCTGCACTATAACCTCATTGTCTCAGGCAGGGACTAGGTGTCTCTCTGTGTGGTGTTAGGCCCATAGTACCTGCTCAGTAAATATTTGCTGAGTGACTTGACTCTTAGCTAATGACTCAGTATTCATGATACCGGATAGTCAACTCTGTAGTTTCTTGTTATTGTTTTGTTTTGTTTTTTGAGTCTCATTATATTGTTTAGATGAGTCTCCTGGACTCAAATGGTCTTCCCCGCGCAGCCTCTCGGGTTGTTGGGATCAGAGGCAGATGCCACTACATCTGGTAGTATATATATTCTTGTCTTTATTCACTCATATTACATGTATTCTTGCAGGCATCTTATTATAGAAAACTTTATCCCTCTGGAAGAAAAGAGTAAAAGTATGAATAGATCATTTTTTGATGAAGAGGAAGATCATTGGAAATTACATCCTATAACCAGACTGGAGTAAGTCATTATTTACATAAGTAGACTTGCAGGTGAGGAGGGGACAAAGAATGTTGAAAAGCTGGACTTGAACAAAGGAACATGGGAAGAACACAGTTTGATTATTTAACATCAGAACCAATTACGTTTCTGACTTTGTGGCTGTCATAGGTTCATGGCGTAAAGTTTGGTGATGAGTGTGGTATTAGGAATTGGGAGGCTTTGTCACCAGTGAGCTAAAAACATTTCTCAAGTTCTTGGATTTCACACCCCGTCCCCATTGAGTGAGATGTGCTGGATCCAGTGAGGGCAGCACAGCGGTGATATTTTGTGTATCAGTCTGAGCCTGGGTCCTGCTGGGGATGGGAGACCTCTGCCAAGGATGTAGGGCTGGGAAGTGTTCATAGCTGTGCTTTGTCTGCTGTCTTAAGAACTGCATGGTGATGACTATGGATCCCTTCCAGCTTAAAAATACATGGTGCTTACATCTGAATCAGACAGCAGCTCACAGGCCGGGGCTCAGTGGTTCTGCCACCTGCCTCAGAGTGCAAGGACCTGAGTTCGATTCCCAGTACCAAAAAAAAAAAAAAAAATGACAGCAACTCATATAGAAAATAGAATTAGCTGCTGCCCTACTTCCATCAGCCCTCAGTCCTGAGAGTTACCACTCCAGGTTCTGGGTGGCTCAGAGTCTTCTGAGTGTTTATTCCACAGGACTGAGCCTGGGCTGTGGGGCGCACTCCAGCCACAGCCCTAACACTGCAGTCCATTTGCAGGAATCAGCAGATGATGAAGCGGCCAGTCTCCGCTGTTGGCTATAAGAGACCATTGAGCCAGCATGCAAGAATGTCCATGATGATTCGTCCAGAGTCCCGATACCGGGTGAGAAGACTGTCCTTGGGTTTTCTCCTCTCTCTTTTGGAGGAGTTTAGATTTGAATAGTTTAAATTGTTAAGCACTATTCTGCAAAGTTACAGAGTTTGTATCCTGAGTCTTCCAGAGATATTGACAACATTTATAATAATTATAACCATTATAACAAGTAATACATGAATATAGTAATTTATAAATAATAAATGAGAAGATAGGGTGAGACTGAGAAGATCAGAGCAAGGTACGGAGGGGTCTGCAAACTTCATGTCTGTTATGGTCCTTAAACATTAACTGGAAACTTCTGAATGGTTCTGTGGGAACCTTGGAGCAAATGCAGATGTCTGGTGACAGAACGTGGCCCTATGCTAAAGAACTTCTGGTACTTTGATTTCACATCATGTGTGTCAATCATGCAGTCATTTAAAATGACACCAAGGCCGGGCGTGGTGGCGCACGCCTGTAATCCCAGCACTCTGGAGGCTGAGGCAGGAGGATTGCTGTGAGTTCAAGGCCAGCCTGGGCTACATAGTGAGTTTCAGGTTAGATTCAACTACACAGTGAGATCCTGTCTCAAAAAAACCAAAAAAATAAAAAAATGATGTAAAATTTAGGGCTAGTAATTATCCCAAAATATTTTAAAATTAAAATGCTGTAGAGTTTCTGTTTATGAGCACTGGCTATGTACTGGGTCCTATACACAGAGCCAGACTGCTTTCTCTAATGCAACTTTCCCATTTGCTCTGTGCAGTCAGGAGTGGGTAAAGAGATCCTGGGAGGCACATTGTATTGTTAAGTTAAAAACAGTTTTATTGGAGGTGTATGTATGAATTTAAAAATCCAGTGCAGAGTAACATTTGGCCATTTCTTTAAGATCATGATACACAGTATATTAACCATTATTATTCTCTAATTATTTTGTTACAAAATTTTATTTTTTCATAGAAGAATGTTTTTTATATTTTCTTTTTTAATATTTACTTGCATTACATTTTAAAATGTGAATTAAAAATCCAATATAAAGTATATGAAAATGGAAAATTGTTCTTTCTGGTTGATGGAAGTATTCTCAGTTTAAATTTTTGTTGTTTTGCTTTATCTGTATTTTGAGATTATCAACAAGGAACCTATATTTTTATAATAAAAGATTTTAACTTAAAAGTTCAAAATGTTAACTGGGCATGGTGGCATATACCTGTAATCCCAGCACTCAGGAGGCTGAGGCAGGAGTATCATGAGTTTCAGGCCAGCCTGGGCTACATGGCCAGTTTAAGGCCAGCCTAGACTATAGCAAGATCTTGTCTCAAAAATAAAATAAAACAAAGTTTTGTTTCTTCCTTGGAGCCATAGCAAAATAGGAGATTATTAGAATTAGTTAACTCCCAAGATGCTGTTCTTCTCAACATTGAACTACTTAAAGTAAAAAAAGCAAAAGCAAAACGGATTTAGTAGATGGAGCTTTATACTGTGGAAGATGGGTGGTGTGTCAAAATCCTCAGGATTTTTCTAGCAGTTTCAGACGGTGCATATTTGGCCAATATCTTGTTTCTCAAGCCAAAAACATGATTTTAAAGCCCATAAATCAAATATATTACTCTGCACTGGAATTTTTTCCAGAGGACTAATCTGACCTGAAGGAGAAGTTAAAGCAGTGATTTGCAGATGAACAGTGAATTTACTTTGATCAGGAGAAATTTTATGCATCATCTTCTCCCCACCCTCTTCCTACTGTGGCCCCTTATGCCCCCTCTGGAGCAGCCATGGTAGAAGATGGTGTGTGTATTTGTGGTGCTTCTCTCTTTATCCAGTCCTCCCAGGAGCTGTGAGAGGTTCACCACAAGACATAGAGTGACAGAGTCTACCTACAGGACTAATTATGAGGCAAGGCTCACAAGCTGTTTTTAAAATGTAATTATAAGGACATACACTGTTGAGCATACTTATCCTCCACATACACACACCAGACCCTTCCTCCCCTCTGCAGCTGAAAAGTCTCTAGGAGACTTGGTGGTGACTATTTTCTTTATACCTTTGTGTATTTTGAAACTGTCTGCAATACATGGTTTTTACTTAATAATTTTTCTCCGATGATTTCCTTTAGGATATAAGATGTGTTCCTTGTAAATAAAAAAAATAGAAAACACAGAAAAGCTTAAAGAAGAATATAAACTGGGCATGGTAGCACATTCCTGTGATCCCAGAACTTAGGAGGCTGAGGCAAGAGAATTGTTGTGAGGTGAAGGCAACATAGGGAGCTGAAAAGCCAGCCTAGACTACTTAGTGATACCCTGTCTCAAAAACAAGCAAACAAATCAACAACAACAAAAGAATATTTTAAAAATATGTAATCTCACCAGGAGAAAAATATAAAACTAGGGCTGGGGATTTAGCTCAGCAGTGCTACTGCCTGCCTCACAAGTGCAAGGACCAGAGTTCAATCCCCGTACCCACCCCAAAATATATATGTGTGTGTGTACTTAGTGATACCCTGTCTCAAAAACAAGCAAACAAATCAACAACAACAAAAGAATATTTTAAAAATATGTAATCTCACCAGGAGAAAAATATAAAACTAGGGCTGGGGATTTAGCTCAGCAGTGCTACTGCCTGCCTCACAAGTGCAAGGACCAGAGTTCAATCCCCGTACCCACCCCAAAATATATATGTGTGTGTGTGTGTGTGTGTGTGTGTGTGTGTGTATAAAATCTCTTCTGAATGGCAAGCAATTTGCAGCCCTGTCCCTAGAGGATGTTTAATGTGCCTATATTCTCTGTGTCTGACTGGAAGCTAACCTAGCTGGTGATAACTTTGTTTCTGCAGGCAGAAAATACGATGCTCTTAGAACTGGACATGCCCAGTAGAACCACAAGAAATTATGAGGGCCCAGCCATTGCCCCCAAGATCCAGGCTGCATTGGATGCAGCTCTACAGGATGAAGACGAGATTCAGGTGGATGCATCATCCTTTGAAAGCACTGCAATTAAGAAATCCAAGGCCAGGTGAGTGGCTTTGGTGACCTGTGTTTGAAATAAAGACAAATCAAGGTAGAGGGTTAGAGGGTGGCATGAGTGTTTGTTTGCTATAGAATGCTTGTAGAACATGCTAGAAGTTGTTGCCATATTACTCCTATATTTATTCACTTATTCCACAAATGTTTATGGTTGAGACCATGTGCTAGGTATACTGAATACCACAATACATAATGTACACAGTGCCTACCATAAGGAACATTTGTTCTGGTGACCTACAACACAGTTCTTTAGTTCCTATTAGTGCTGGTAGTTCTTAAGTGCTTCGTGATGATTCTATTAGTGATTTCCTGCAAAAGGAAATATCAGTCCAAAAATTGGGACCTAGAGAATTTGAGAAAGTAGCTGTTTTAGTTACTTTTCTTGTTGCTGGGACAAAATACTTGACACCCACAAGTTAAATGAGGAAAGTTTATTTTAACTTGTTTGTAGAAGTTTCAGTCCATAGTTGGCTGGCTTCGAGGCAGGACAGCGTGGCAGAGGGGCAGGCAGAGAAAATAGCAGTTTATGAGAGGTGGGCCGGAGGCAGCAAGCAGAGAGCTTTCCTTCCCGTTTCTCCCATCCAGGCTATCAGCTTACTGATGATGCCACCCACACCTTCCCATACCCATACCCAGAACTTTGCTAATCCAATCAGTGGGCTGATTCAGTTATCGCATATTCTTAATCCAGTATTACACCCCCATGATCCAGCCATTCCAGAAACCCTCTTGGGAGTGTATGAAGCTTTGGGGAACATTCAAGCTATAAAGCATAACAGTAGCCAACTCCAAGGAAATCCAGAAAGTGAGGTGTCAAGACAGAGCCAGTGTTCAAATATTGGTCTGCCTTAACCCTCAACCCAGGCTCTGAGCCTCCTTATTAAATTAACCTCCCCTGCTTCGTGCAAAAGCAGAATTTTATCTTTGTAAATTCTGGACTAGAAGTTTAAGGGGCAAATGGGGTAGAAAACAAGCATGAAATAATTTTTACTTGTAAACTTTTTTTTTCTTTTTTTGTTTTTGGAAATATGGTATTGCTGTTACCCAGGCTGGTCTCATACTGCTGGGTTCAAGTGATCCTCCTGTCTCAGCATCTTGAGTAATTGAGACAAGTGGTATGTGCCATTGCATTGAGTTAGTATTTTTTACCAGTTGGGAGAGAACAGACACACTCAGAACAATTGCTGAGTATCAGAGTCCCTTGCACAGATTTCATACCTCTATTGGCAGCCCATGTTGGCCAGCCTAGTGGTTTACAGTTGCATGTGTCCAGGCTTTCAGGCCATTGAGGAAAGGTCACCTTGAAATATTCAGGTACTTGGAAATATATGATGTCTACGTGTTCTTGACTTTTGCAGGCCTAAAAGTGGAAGGAAGTCGGGATCCTCTTCTTCATCCTCCTCAGGAACCCCTGCATCTCAGCTGTATCCACAGTCTCGGGGGCTGGTTCCCAAGTAAAGCTGGGGCTCCTCTCCCAGGGCATGAGCAGCAGTATTGCTTTCTGAGAGAAGAGATGAGCAGGAAGCTACAGAGCAGACTCGAGCCCAGACTCAGAACTGTTCCCCTAAGGAGAAGCAGTGGCCTCTGCAGATTAACCAACTCAGTCTGCTCGAATGTGCTGGCCCTAATCTGGCACTCATCTCCTCTGGAAAATGTTCTTTAAATAGCATCTCAGAAATGCATGGGTAAGGTAAAGTGCGACGAGCAAGAGAACGACCATGACTTGCTTCCCTTCTCCCTTGCCTTCTCTCCACCCCTACCCTCTTTTATCCCTTCTTTTCTATCCTGTTTTCACATTGGGCTCCCTGCTTATTGAACAGTGGGGCAGAGTCAAGGGTCCCCTTAGCAGGACTATGTCTTTGGAGCCTCAGGATGAAGTGACAGTGAGGTTGAAAAGTGAAAGCCCTAGAACTTGAATATGTGCCTGATTCTGTAGGAAGAAATGAGGAATCTCATTTGGATCCAAGCCTAGGACATGATCAGCAACCTTGCTTCCATGCTTCTCATGAAGAAGTGAATCTGCTTTTGGGATCTGCTGAATGAGAAACTCTCTTCCAATTTCTGCTCCTGAAAGATTCAATGTCAGAAGCAATAGAAATAGCATTCTTTTTACCTCCTTGGAGAGTTTAGGAAAATTGCTTCTTTCAGACCTCAAGACCATTACCATCCTGTGAAACCTAAGTCTGAAAGCCAGTGCCATGTCCTTCCACCATGTCACTTTACTTTTCTTCACTTGTCACTATCTTTCCCCGTGCGTGCACACTCTGAGCATCCTTAAATAAGCCTGTCCTGTGCCTCCAGAGTGTGCTTAGTAGTGGGCCTGTTTCATGGGAGAAGGGAGGCTGGCTCTGCCTTCTCTGATGGAACTAAAATTTGGGGAAAGCAACATCTAGTGGCAGTTTTGAATTCCCCATTTTCTTCCATACTGGCAGGAAGAGCAGAAGAGCAGATAGGCAGAGGCAGAGCTGGAGACAGGAGGCTCAGAGTAGTGGGAAGCGAACACATACAGGCGGAAGCAAAGGAGTACTGCTTGCCTTCAGGACTCATGGGATCCTAGAGCTGGGGCTTCCGCCAGGCAGACTGTTACTCATTTTCCCCCAAGCTCATAAGTGTGTGTGCACATTGTGTCTGTGCCCTGTGTGCCCATATGTGTCTGTAAGAGACAGAGACCAAGAACTTGCCTAATTTTAGAAAATGCTAATGTGCAGTTGTTTCCTTTTGTCCATCAAAGGCCTATTGAATGACTAGTCCAGGCTGGAGGCACTCCTGTGTGGGTATCTTAGTCCACGAGTCAAGCCTGAGGGGACATTATGAGTCCCCAAGTCTGCCACACTGGCACACCCTGCTGGCATGGTGTCTCAGGAAAATGGTGACTCAGGTGGGCCTTGAGTTATATTTTAACTCAGCTGCTCAGTTCCCAGGACCCACTTCTGGATCAGAACCCATGAGAAAGAGGAGGTACCACGTGCAATGTCTTAGCAATCTGGAAAACAGGTCTGGTGTTCGCAGATCTCTCTTTGTTAGTAATCATTCTTTCTGAACCCAGGGCCCTATTCAGTAGTTTCCAGAGCATAATGGAGCCTTCTTTTTGTGGGATCAAACCCTGCTTTTTCCTTATTCACTAAGAATTTGCCTGTTTGAATAGGAACTAAATGATGTAGTCTAAGATGGTTATCTGCTGGTGAACGTGTCTCTCACACTACATTCCTTTGAAGCTAGTCTGAAATCTGTAGGGTGAAAATAATCATATAGCAAATCAGAGAATTGAAAACTATGGATAACACTATACCTTAATACTGATGTCTTAAGGTAGCTGTGTGAGCAAGGGTAGTTAAGTGACACAGAACTTTTCCAAGAAGGCAAAAGAGGAAAGCCAGGTTAACAAGGCTTGAATACTAAAACAAGCTTGTCTGGTACTCAGCTGTGTTTATTTGGTGGCCTGGGGACAGTCAGTAAAAGGACACTTACTTGGAGAGATGAATCTATCCCTTTCCAAGCAGTCTCTGGTGCTTTTCTTCTCTCAAAATGGATCCGATAAATATTCAAAAGGAGCAGATGGTAAGACATGTTGTTGCCACCAGAATGGTGCTGCTTTGGCTCCTGAATTGAGCCACATGTGTAGAGGACACAGCAAGCCCACTGAGGGCATTCATGCTGCCGTGTTCCAGGATGGAGAGCCTTCATGCCAGTACCTAGTGAACTCTGAAAGCAAGTCTCTTGTGGGACCTCAGAAGACTATCTGGGAGAAGGAATTTGAGACTGTCTGCAACCTCATCAGACTCCCTTTTGTTCTGCTCAGTAGAATGTATCTGGCTTCATATTTTTGCAGTCACACATCTCCTGAACCCCTGGATTCACAACCCAAGGCCACAAATCATAGGCATGAAGCACTTTCTTAAGACTCTGACTTAACGTTGAATGGTTTCCCGTCTAATGCCTGCATGCTGCTTGATGTGCTCCACCCACACCTTCTTGACCAAGGTTCACCAGAGTGTTCTGCAGTTCAGGCATGGGCTGCTCTCTGCTTTTCCTGTTCGACTCTTGTAAGTCCTGCCTCACTGAATGTAGATTTGTTGTCAAGTTTCTGAGAAGTGTTGACTCCCTTGTGACACAGGGTGTCAATTCTGCCTCACAGTCCCCTTTGAAGTTGAATTGGACCCTTCTTGGACCATTCAAGTACCATTCGTAGATGAAATGCAGGCTTTTAATGAATGTACCCTAAAGCCATACTGAAAATGTTCAGAGGGAACAAGATACAAATAGTAGGCCTGGCAACTGTCTTATCATGTGAGGCTTTGTCTTGTACTATTTGGAAATCTGGCACCTTTCTCCCTGCCCGTGTCTCTTGAATGAAATACTTTTGAGGTTATTTATGAAAGGAGTGGTCCAGGCTGGGCAGAAGGTGGTGGGCTTTATGGCTCCTTGGAGTTACTGTTGATTGTGACCTTCTCTTTGGCTACTTTTAGACAAAGAATATGCCAATACTTGGGACTCTAAATTTTACAATTGATATTTATTTGTATCATCTCTTTGTCTAGGAATGTAAAAGTGATTCTAAACTAAGATGTGTAATAAAATCAATCAGATTTATTGTACCTACAAAAAGGTGTCCTTGTAAATGGCTGACACTTTTGAAAATAACTAATGCCTGTATCTGATACACTCTATTTTCTTTAAACATTTTAATTTTTTTGTTGTTGAAGGTAGAAGTGGAAAATATTGAATTACAATGCTGGCATTTAAAATATATAACAAGGAAGAGAGACAAAAAATGAAGAGAAAGAGGACTAGGGATATGGGATATGGCTTGGTGGTAGAGCACTTGCCTAGAATGTATGAGGCCCTGAGTTTGATCCCCACAACCTCAAAAAAAAAAAAAAAAAAGAATGTGGGTGGGGGGAGACCTTAACAAGTGCTTTTCACATTTTTCTGTTGTTTCCCGAGACACTCAGGCCTAGGAAAGAGGCATAAAACTTTGCCTTTGTGTTTTGTTTTTAAAATTTATTTAAACATATACATCATACTTTAAAATATATCTATGTCTTGCCAGACACGGTGGTACATGTCTGTAATCCCAGCACTCAGAAGGGTGAGATAGGAGGATTGCCAGTTTGAGACCACCCTAGGCTGTGGAGTTCTGGGTTAGCCTGGGACTCTCTCCAAAACCCTCCTCTTTTTTTTTTAACATTAAAATATTTTATGTTGTTTACCATCGGGAAAAAATAAATACTAGAAATATGCCCCACATCATCTTACGCTTTCTCATACCTCTAGGCCTGCTGCAGTGTGCCCGAGAGAGTGAAGCACCCTGGTTGGGAAGTCACACTAAGCAGGAGCACAGACTCTAGACTGAGCTGGTTTGAATTCTGGCATTGTCACTGCTTACTAACTCTATGACTAAGAGGAATTTAATTTACTTCTCTATACCTGTGCTTTTTATCAAGTAGGAGCATAGTCCCATCTTGCAGGGTCATTTAGAGGATTTAGTAGTACATTTAAACCAGTAAGCACAGTGTGTAAACTAGCAAACATTAGAAAGTATGGCTATTGTGTTGAGTATGGTGATGCACACCTGTAATCCCAGCACTCTGGGAGACTGAGGAAGGAGGATTGCAAGTTCTAGTCTCACCTGGGGAATTTATTGAGACCTTATCTCAAAATAAAATGGGCTGGGATGTAGCTCAGTGCAGAGGCCCTGCATTGTTGGATCTTCACTACCACTAGAAAGAAAAAAAGAAAAAAAAAACATATGTACAATGCAGGCAGTGGTCTGTGTGATTTAGGCAAAGATTTCTTTTTTTTGTTTTGGTATTGGTAATCGAACTCAAGGGTCTTGTGCCTGTCAGGCACTGTGCCACTGAGCTACATCCCTGGCCCAAAGGTTTCTTAATTGTTTTTTTCATAAGATGCCCTCGAACTATGTGTTATGTCCCTTTACCCTTCTCTCTTCTTTCCCGAAAGAGTTAAAAACCAAACAAAAAAACTCTCATAGCTTGGCATAGTCTAATTCACTTTTGCTGGAAAATAAGCAGGAGTTCAAAGAATGTATTATTGAGTCAGAATCCTGGGTTGGGATGGGGGCTGATTCACAGGACGGGCACTTGGACACCTTGGAAATTGCTGCCCATTCATCTCTTGGGTTATTATTATTATTATTTAAATTGAGAAACTATTAAATCTTGGGAACTGTATTTTGAACTTCAAATTGATTATTTAATCTTGGGACTGATTTTGGCAGGCCCTCAGATGAGAGGCACCATCTGATTGAAGTTTACCCTGAGAATCTGGTCTCCAAGGACCATGTGGTGGTCATGTCTGCCAACTGAATTGACAGTGGCATTTGTCACGACATAACTGTAGTAGTTGTAGCTATCCGCATTTCATCCTCGTTGGTTTCTGTCTCTAGTGTTGTGCTTAACCGCACCCCAATTGCTTCAGTTACGTGCGCCAACTGGAGTCTTGCTGTGGGGGTGGAGTGGGCCCAGGTGGGGCTCCTCAGAGCATCTCTGGAAACTGTTCAGCCCAGACACTTGAATGCCTTGTGTGCGCCAGGGGTCTTGGTCTGCGTTGGACGCATGGAGAGGAGTGAAATGTAATGTGGCCCCTGTGGAGAGGGGGCCAGAAACACACAAGGGACACTGACTGGGAGCCTCAGTACCCATGAGAAAAAAGGCTTGCTCCTCTCACATGGCTCCCACAGCCCTTGCATTTGGTTCCTGGGTCATGCCAAATTCTTTCCTTCCCAGCACCTTCTCACACGCTCTGTCCGATGCCTGGTATACTTTTCTCTCCACTTTCTGCTTGGCTTACTCTTATCTGTCAGCTTAATGTCAACTCCTCAGAGAAGCCTTCCCAGCCTCTGATCTGGTCTCCCCACATACATATTGTATTATCTGTCATCACACTTGTTTCCTTCTTAGCCTTTTTCCCAATTTACAATTATGGATTTCTTTGCTAAGTTCCCTGAGGGCATTGTCTTCTCTAAACCTGGTGTTTAGAAGAATTAGATGATGGGGCTGAGGATGTAGCTCAGAGGTAGAGCACTTGCCCACCATGTGTAAGGTCCTAGGTTTGATTTCCAAGCAATGCAAATAATATAAAAGGAAATACGTGATGTGTCAGAAGAGATGGAGGAAAGCTTTGCCGAGGAGGCGTCAGAGTGAGCAGGTCTCACCCACTTGGGCAGAAGGGAAGTTCACGCCAGACAAGGAACAATCTGCACAAGAGCACGGAGTGTTTCTGGTGCCTGGGGAACCAGCCATACTGGGGTGATGGAGCAGAGAGTGAAAGGCAGTGTGGGGAAGTGTCCTGTCCTGTAGAAGGAGGAGAGCCCTCCAGGACTAGTGGCGAGCATGAAGCACAGCTCATTTACTCGGCTGCTTTCTTCCTGTGCCTACCTCAGCCTGCCTGCCTGCATGCTATGATTTCCCTTTGAGATAACGGAGAGCAGTTTCACTAAGTGTGTGCTTCAAGTTTGCCTTCTGTTCACACAGGTTTTCTGAGCTTACTGGAAAGTTCTACCGTGCCAGGAGCTTTCACAGCACAGCTCAGTACCCGAGAAATTCTAAGGAGCTCTTCAGCTTGACTCCAAGGTCTTGATGCCCTGAAAATGGGGCCTAAATATTTTTAGGGCAGTGGGAGACATTTAGGAGCGGAGAAATTAAACTTCTGCCATTGGGTTTGAAGTTCATCTTCTTTGTGCAGGCAAACAAAAAATTTCTGTACATTCATAACTCATGGTCATGAACTACAGCTATGGACCCTACCCTTCCCAAGCCTCGGTCTTGTAAGGAATTCCACTATATTCACAAAGAAGAAAATTCAAGGGGAGCAGAGGCACTAATATGGCACAAACCGTGTCCCCTATTTTGGAAAAGGCATGTTAAACACAGTGATCATCCTCTTTGCTAGATTTTCCCAGGGGCAATGAGAAGAGTGAGTTTTCCTTCAGATTCCTGCATTCTTTTTTTTTTTTTCTTTCCTCTAGTACTAGGAATTAAACCCAGAGGCACCATACTACTGAGCTACATTTCTAAGCCCTTTTATTTATTTATTTTTAAATTTTGAGACAGGGTTTCTCATTAAGTTGCCCAGGCTGGTCTCAAATATGAGATACTCCTGCCTCAGCCTCTTTTGCAGCTGGTATTACAAATGTGAACCAAAGACTTTATCCAAGGGGATCTCACATTTGGTAGTGGATCCTTGGGGTTAATAAAATAGTCTGTACTGTGGCAGGGGGTC